AACTTATGATCACTAAACCGGTTAAAACAGTTCATGATTCTACAAGCTGAAAGCAAACGACAATTAAATATGATTTCCTAAAATAATCACACTTATCTTTGGGCAAAAGAATGTTTTAATTCACATTCTAGTCTACAGTAGTTACATTATTTACAGTCTTTAAAAAAACAACAACCGAACAAACAAAGCAGTCAAATGAACAGACGGTGAAGGTGTTAATATTGTCACACGGTGATCCTTCATATCATTACACACAGGATTATTATACGCATCTGAGAGCAGCGACCCAGCTGAAGAGTACGACTGAAGAGTTTCGTTCTCCATGACGAGAGCTACACTATTGATTAGACGCTATCTGCAGTGTTTTAGAGGTAGACTACGGCTCTAGTCAGTAGTGTCGGATTAGGGTGGTTAAGACAGATCAATGTAAGACTTTTCAATGCAATAAAGCAAACTCTTCTGTTCCTGCAGTAATACTGTCAATCCTCTCATCCCGAATCAAAGGTCCTGCAGCGGGATCTGATCCGAGAGAGGGGAGAATTCTCACACAGTCTTATGGAAGCTTATTTACGCCACAGCTATAGTTTCTTCAGAACAATTTCGAGTTGTTTTGATGTTGTAGGTGTTTTATTTAGCAGGTTTAGTAGATTAACAAAGTGTAACTCGAAAAAAAAGCAAATATAGCAAAATTTTAGCAAAATAAAGCAAATTTAAGAAATTAAAATAGTATAATATCATAAATCTGAAATGCAAATGTTGAATTCAGACATATAAATTCAGATTTCTGAGAAAAAAAAGTGATAATTAATTCCTATACACTGCTAACAATTCCTGATAGAATCTGCATTAACTTACCAGCAGCAGTTCGCCAGTCAGCAAGCATACTGTATTTACATTTACAGCACCATTTCTCTTTGCTCTTTATGTATTTACAGTATTGTATATCTTTACTGTAAAATGTATAGTAATTTCCACAATGCAACTTTAAAATACAGTAACATAACTATCCTACAGTCAAATACAGTTCATCTTACAGTTAAATACTGTTATTTACAAAAATCATTAGCAGTGTATATAAATTCAGAAAGCTGAGAGAAAAAGTTCGTGATTTTAATGATTGATGACAAATCAGAATTCAGAAAAAAGGAAAAATTTATCATTTTGAGACGTAAATTCAGAATTCAGTGAGTAAAAAAAGTCACAAGTGCTGAATATAGAGTAAAAATTCAGAGGAACAACATGATTGAATGTAAATTTAGTCAAAATTCAGAGAAAAAAGTCATGAATTCGCAATGCAATCTCCAATTTAGAGAAGAAAATACTGATTTCAAAGTGTAAATTCAGAATTATGAGACGTGAACTCAGAATTCAGAGGATAAAGTTAATGAATGTAAATCTTATGTGAGAACTTAAAGAGAAAAAAAGTCATAATTCTGAAAAATAAGTTATATTATTGGCTATGCAGTGGTGCAGTAGGTAGTGCTGTCGCCTCACAGCAAGATGGTCGCTGGGTCGATCCTCGGCTCAGTTGGCGTTTCTGTGTGGAGTTTGCATGTTCTCCCTGTGTTCGCGTGGGTTTCCTCCGGGTGCTCCGGTTTCCCCCACAGTCCAAACACATGCGGTACAAGTGAATTGGGTAGGCTAAATTGTCTGTAGTGTGTGTGTGTGGATGTGTGTGTGGATGTTTCTCAAAGATGGGTTGCGGCTGGAAGGGCATCCGCTGCGTAAAAAACTTGCTGGATAAGTTGGTGGTTCATTCCGCTGTGGCGACCCCGGATAAATAAAGGGACTAAGCCGAGAAGAAAATGAATGAATTTGTGAGATGTGTCATCAGTTGCGTAAATAAGCTTCCATAAATGAATCTCCAGTGTTAACAAAGCAATAAAAGTGTCGTAGAAAAAAAGTAGTATTGCTCTAATCAAACTAAGCATCATGCACATTCATAATCTCTCCTCTGGGTTGTAGAAATACAGTGATTCTCTTTGCACATGTCCGTCTCGCTGTGTTCAGCCTGCAGCGACGCTAAACAAAAAATTAAATAAAACTCGGCTAATAAGCAAACAGGCATTATGAAAACCCGGGGAGACGTTAACATGAGTATAAAAGAGTTTTTGGTCTCTCAGGGCCCCTTTTTTCAGCCTTCGGTGACATTAAACAAAAAATAAACCCTATTTTCAGCCTGCAGTGACGTTAAACCAAAAAATTGAATACAAAATAAACTACAAGCATTATGAAAACTCTGGACTGTGGACGTTAATTCGATTAAAAAGAGAGTTTTCGTCTCTCAGGACCCCTGCAGCATTCTTAAACAACAACAACAAAAAAACAACCTTTTTTTCAGCAAACAGGTATTATTAATGAAAACCCGGGGAGACGATAACTCGATTGTAAAAACGTTTTTTATCTCTTAGACGGAGACGTTAACTCAGTTACACATTTTTTTGGTCTCTCAGGGCCCTTTTTTTCAGCCTGCAGTGACTTTAAACAAAAAATAAAATAAAATAAAAACTAAACAAACAAGTGAACAGGCATTATTGAATGAAACCCCAGGGGACTGGAGACGTTGACGGAGCAGTTTCAGTTGGCATCAGCTGAACTCGCCCATAAAAATGTTTTTCGTTTTGGTCTCTCAGGGCCCTTAAAAAAATAAAATAAATAAATAAAGTAACAAGCCAACAGGTATTATTAATGAAAACCTGGGGAGATGTTAACTCGATTATAAAAGAGTTTTTCCATCTCTCAGGGCCCTTTATCAGCGTGCAGCGACGTTAAACAACAATAAAAATAAATGAAAACCCAGGGAAAAAAAGAGTTTTCGTTTTTGTCTCTCAGGGCAATTTTTTCAGCCTGTAGCGATGTTAAACTAAAAATTTAATAAAAACAAACTTACAAGTAAACAGGCATTATGATAACCCAGGGCAATAGGAGACGTTAACTCGATACTAAAAGAGTTTCTTGTAGCTTCTGCAGCATCATTAAACAAAAAAATTTAAAATTAAAAATAAACTTTTTTTTTTTTTAGCCTGTAGTGCCGTTAAACAAAATTATAAAATAAAATAAAACAAACTAACAAGCAAACAGGCATTATGAAAACCCAGAGTGCGGGAGACATTAACTCTACATTATAAATTTTATATTATAGTATAAATATATACTACATATTATGTTATAAAAGAGTCTTTCATTTTCGTCTCTCAGTCTCTCATTTCAGCCTGCAGCGACAATAAACAAAAAATTAAATAAAAATAAACTAACAAGCAAACAGGCATTATGAAAACCCAGGGCACTGGGGACGTTAGTTAACTCGATTATAAAAGAGTTTTTTGTTTTCGTCTCTCAGCGTAATTTTTTTTTGCCTGCAGCGATGTTAAACAAATTTTTTTAATAAAAATCAGCTAACAAGCAAACAGGCATTAAATGAAAACCCGGGGACACGTTAACTCGATTATAAAAGAGTTTTTGGTCTCTCAGGGCACTTTATGAGCCTGCAGCGACGTTAAACAAAAATAAAAATAAACTAGGCATTGAATGAAAAGCCAGGGCGTGTGGAGACGTTAGCTTGATTATAAAAGAGATTTTCGTTTTCGTCTCACAGGGCCATTTTTTCAGCCTGCAGCGACATTAAACTAAAACTTCAATAAAAATAAACTAACAAGTAAACAGCCATTATGAAAACCCAGAGTGCGGGAGATGTTGACTCGACTATAAAAGAGTTTTCCGTCTATCGAACCCTTTTTTTTCAGCCTGCAGCGACGTTAAACAAAAAAATTAATTAAATATAAACTAACGAGCGAACAGGCATTATAAAAACCCAGCGCACTGGGGACGTTAACTCAATTATAAAGAGAGTTTTCGTCTCCCAGGACCCCTGCAGCAATCTTAAAAAAATAAAAATAAAAAAAAAAAACCTTTTTTTTCAGCCTGCAGCGACGTTAAACTAAAAATTTAATAAAAATAAACTAACAAGCAAACAGGCGTTAACTTGATTATAACATTTTTTTGATTTTCAGCCAAACAAAGATTTTTCAGCTTTAAACAAAAATACAAATAAACTAGGCATTGAATGAAAACCCAGGGCGTGAGGAGACGTTAGCTTGATTATAAAAGAGATTTTCGTTTTCATCTCACAGGGCCATTTTTTCAGCCTGCAGCGACATTAAACTAAAAATTCTATAAAAATAAAATAACAAGCAAACAGCCATTATGAAAACCCAGAGTGTGGGAGATGTTGACTCGATTTTAAAAGAGTTTTCCGTCTATCGAACCCTTTTTTTCAGCCTGCAGCGACGTTAAACAAAAAATAAATTAAATATAAACTAACGAGCGAACAGGCATTATAAAAACCCAGCGCACTGGGGACGTTAACTCGATTATAAAGAGAGCTTTCGTCTCCCAGGACCCCTGCAGCGATCTTAAACAAAACAAAAAACCCAAAACCCTTTTATTCAGCCTGCAGCGACATTAAACTAAAAATTCAATAAAAATAAAATAATAAGCAAACAGCCATTATGAAAACCCAGGGCACAGGGGACGTTAACTCGATTAAGTTTTTCGTTTTCATCTCTCAGGACCCCTGCAGCCACCTTAAACAAAATTTGTTTTAAAAATAAACATTTTTTTCAGCGTGGAATGATGCTAAACAAAAAATTCAAATAAAAATGAACATTTTTTCAGCCTGCAGCGACGTTAAACAAAAAATAAATTAAATATAAACTAACGAGCAAACAGGCTTTGAGGAAACCCAGGGCACAGAGGACGTTAACTCGATTAAGTTTTTCGTTTTCATCTCTCAGGACTCCCACAGCGACCTTAAACAAAAAATCAAATAAAAATAAACCTTTCTTCAGCCTGCAGTAACGTTAAACATAAAAATAAACAAACTAACAGGCAAACAGGCATTGAATGAACACCCAGGGTGCGGGAGACGTAACGGAGCAGTTTTAGTTGGCATCAGCTGAACTCGATTAGTTATAAAAGAGTTTTTATTGTTGTTGTTGGCGTCAGACGAGCGAGCCGGCTCTGCTCTGCGCGGGCACCATGACGGGTACAGCACCCATGCGCTCTAGCGTAGCTTGACTGACTGCGTATGAGTGTGTGTGCTGCTGTCCGTGTGCCGCCGGCGCCGGCGTAGTGCTAGCGGCGGGCGTTCGCAAGCTTAGTGATCCATTGCTGCGGGCGATGACGGGTGGTGAGGGCGCGGAGTTCGTGGTGACCACCAGAGTTTTGGGCGGGGGCAGCGTGTGGCTGCCGTTAGTGTACGCTGGCCTTGCAGGGGCGCTGGCGCTGAAGGTCTGCCGTGTGTCGCCGTTGTAGCGTGTGTAGGAGTTGGTGTCGTAGTTGGGTTTGGGGTTGTGCCAGTAGCGGCTGTTGTAGGTGTTGGTGGACGTCAGAGTGTCGTTCTCTGAAGACGAGGCGTCCGCCTGAAACGCTTTCACCGATGAGGATCGCTTCGGAGGGAGATCGTCTTCCCTGAGATAGGAGAGACAAAAATTGCATTTTATAATTATTATATCTATAAATATAATATCAGTAGTGGATTTTGTAACCCCAAATCAGAAAAAGTGGAGAGTATAAATTAAAATAGAAGAGATTTCTAAATTTACTTTGACTTGTATTTGATTGCAGACAATAGCCCCTTTCACACATACAGACCTTTCCGGAAAATTACCGGCAATTTTCCGGAAAGCTTGTATGTGTGAACAGGTGCTTTTTGAAAATACCGGTAAATTCGTTCTGGCTATTTTCCGGAAAGAGAAGTTGTAACATTACCGGCAATTTGCCGGAATGCTGCGCTGTGTGAACGCAGAAGGAAGATTACCGTAATAAGCGCGTGCACGTCTAGAACGTGCTGACGTAAGACTTCTGCTTTAGCCAATCACAACAGTCAGACGCATTTACGTCTGTGCGGTTTGTGAGAATAAAAGCCTTTGAATATTTTTCCAGACGCATTTAGCTGCTAGAAGTTAGTCAGATCACGGTTATATGTTCTTCTTAATGCCAACTGTGTAAATAATCATCGATGAGATGCTTATGATAAGCCGTTGTTTGTTTACCTTCAAGCTTTGCGTGTGCCTGTGAAACAGCCTGTGAGCGTCAGCACACGCAAATAATATGAACATCTCGACATGCGAATATGATCCTGTGAAAGTTGTTTACGATATTGATCATCAAAAGAAATTGTAATTTAGTCAAATGTTTACAAACACAAGCGCAGCCGTTTAAAGCTCATTTGTGGTGAATGATGTCAGAATTTACCGGTATTTTGGAATGGATGTGTGAATGCTCTTTTCCGGAAAATTTCCGTAACGTCCTCGCCTGTGTGAACAGCGCTTTTTTGTATATACCGGTAAAGTCGTTCCGTAAATTTTCCGGATATTTACCGGTATCACTGTGTGAAAGGGGCTAATATGAACACAAAATATTTTTGTCTGGTCAACCTTATTTCATTTGTAAATATACATCCTTCCTGTCATTCAGACCTGCTAAACAGTTGTGACAGGAGCAGTTTAGGGCTTGTGATCAGGTAAACTGGTTAAATGATGTAAAGTGAAACAGCTGATGTCAACAGGTTAATTCAGAATTGGTGCAAAAGCAGCATCCAAGAAAGGTCTAGTCCTTTAGGAGTAAAGATGGCCCGAGAATCGCCAGTGTGACAACAAATACATGAGAAAATTATTGAAATGTTCCTCAAAGAAAGAGAGGAAAACATTTAGATATTTAATCTTCAACAGTGCAGAACAGCATTGAAGGAATCTGGAGGAGTTTCAGTGCGTAAAGGACAAGAGCGCAAGCCTAAGCTGAACAACGGTGATCTCCAACCCCTCAGGCGGCACTGCATCAGGAATCCTCAATCATCTATAAGCCAGATCAGCACATGAGCTCAGGACTACTGTGGTAAACCTTTGCCAAGTACCACAATACAGAGTTACATTCACAAATGATAGCTAAAAATGTACTGTGCCAAAAGGAAGCCATATGTTAACAGTGTCCAGAAGTGCTGTTGACTTCTCTGACCTCTGAGGCATCTGGGATGGACCATCACACGCTATAAACGTGATATGAACGTCAGATGAATCAGTATCTCAGGTATTTTTTCGGAGAAATGGACGGTGTGTGCTTCGACCCAAAGAAGAAAATAATCATCCAGACTGTTACCAGGTCTGTCAGGGTATGGGGTTGTGTCAGTGCCCTTGGCAAAGGTAACTTGCACTTCTGCCTTCTTTTCCAGGGACTCAAGGACACAAAATTACATTCTGGCAAGTTCTGGCTGTAAAGGAAGAGAATCCATGTATTTGACTGGCCTCCCTGGACTCTACTGTTGCCTACCTTAGGACTTGTCTGTAGGAGGAATGGGATAAAATGACACAGGAAACACTTCATTACTTGGTGTCTTCAGTCCCTAAATGTCTTTCAAGTGTTGCGAAAAGCAATAGCAGCGTTACAAAGTGGTAAATAATAAAAATTCCTTACATTTAAAGCGCATTTTTCTGCACACTTAAAGGGCACCTAGGTTACCCCTTTTTTCAGATTTAATATAAGTCTTTTGCGTCTCTAGAATGTGTATATAAAGTTTCAGATCAAAATACCCATCAGATTTTTCATTATACCTTTTACAAGATGCTGTTTTATACTGATTTCCAGCAGGGGGTGGTTTTGTCGTACTGCGCCTTTAAGACGAGTCGTTCCCGCCTACTGTTTCTACATGCCTCCTCCCTCAGCTGCGTCAGACAACAGACAGACTTAAAGGAAGAAGGTCTCACGTAGCGTTTGTGAGATACTACAGTAAGAACTAACCTTTACTAATCAGTATTGTGAAGTTGCATTGATGAGTCACACACAATATCGTTACAAAGTTAACACACACACACACACACAGATACACACGCACACCGCAGATGACACACACACTCAGGCAGGCAGGCAGGCAGACAGACAGAGCGCGCTTAGCTTAGTTAAGGCTAACCTCAAGTACTGTGTGGATATCTGTTATGCTAATGTACAAAATAAACCTGATTTAACTTCCACAAACTGGGATTTAAGCGTCTTATTTTATAATTGTTCTGACACGCGGCTGTGCTGATGAAGTAAAGCTGAAGTTTTTCTCATCCACCTCAATTAACCACTTGGATGATGCAACGGCAGCCATATTGCACCAGACCGCACACCACACACCAGCTGATTGGTGGAGAGGAGACAGAGTGATGAAGCCAATTATGATGTGGGGATGGTTAGGAGGCACACAGACCACAGGTTGAGCGCCCCCTGCTGGCCTCATTAACACCACTTCCAACAGCAACCTAGCTTTTCTATGTGGTCTCCCATCCAGATACTGACCGGCCGCAGCCCTGCTTAGCTTCAGTGGGCGACCATGTGAGAGTTGCAGAGAGGTAGCTGCCAGGTAAATGGTTTACTGATACAACTTTTTTAAAATGTGCTGCAAGAACCAAAATTGGAATATGTGTTTATTTAACAAACAAACAAACAAACAAACAAACAAACAAACAAACAAACAAACAAACAAACAAACAAACAAACAAACAAACAAACAAACAAACAAACAAACAAACAAACAAACAAACAAACAAAATCATAAGGAACACATTACATAATGTTTGTTGTGTTGTCTGCAATGAAATACAAGTCAAAGTAAATGTACAAAATACAACTTTCATTTCTTTATTTGCGCTTTCCATACCGTGTTAACTTTTTTTTAACACACACAAAACAGGGATCCATATTTAACTCTAAATTAAACTGCTGTGCGTCTCTGATGTGTTTTGAGCAGCTCTGAAAGTTACAGGTTGTCACATACATTTTTTTTCTCTATATTTCAGAATATTGCACATGATATTTTGATCCTCTGCAGTCTTTAAGGAGTGTGTGTATCACCTGATCTCATTGGGAATCTCCTCCTCCTCATATTTGTTCTTGTTCCTCCAGTAGAAGAGCGAGACCAACACCAGCGAACTGCAGATGATCAGAGCCAGAACACCAGTGGCGATGGTGCCCGCGATCAGACCCACACTCTGAGGCTGAGCTGCAACACACACACACACACACACACACACACACACACACACACACACACACACACACACACACACACACACACACACACACACACACACACACACACACACACACACACACACACACACACACATGTGCATTACATATATAGTTAAAGTCTGAATTATTCTGCAGTAATTTGTGTTTCTTTTTCCAATATTTCCCAAATGATGTTGAACAGATTTAGGAATTTTTCATAATAATATTTGTTCTTCTGGAGAAAGTCTTATTTCAGCTAGAATAAAAGCAGTTTATAATTGTTTTTAAGCCCTTTTAAGGTCAACATTATTATCGTTATTATTATTATTATTACAGAACAAACCCCTGCTATACAACGACTTGCCTAATCACCCTAACATTACCATAGTGAAGCCTTTAAATGTCACTGAAGCTGAATACTAGTGTCTTAAAGAGTATCTAGTCTCATATTATTTACTGCCATCATGGCAAAGAGAAAAGTTTCAGGAATAAAACTATTTAAGATCAAAATAAAATATAAATAAATGCAAATTAAAGTTAAGCAGAAAGGTGCAGCAGGTGATGATCTTCAAAAACATTTGTTGTTGTGCTGGTTAAAGTCGCTTCACACTCCAATAGTAATGATTAAAGTGTAAATGTAAATAAATCTAACTGTATTTATAAGTGTTTTTATATTTTGTGTAAGGCATAAAACTGAAAAAAGCTCATCAAATCAAACTGTCTGTCAGCAAATGCAGATTTGAACAACTGCGCAGCCGTTTGTACCAAGTGTGCCGCAAGCCTGCGTTTGAGTGAAGGTCTCGGCCGTTAGATCGCCCCCTGGGGGCTGGCTGCAGTACAAGTCATAAAGCCCGCCTCCTCCGTGTTAATGAAGGAGACTTGAGCCCAAATAAAAAAATTAATTACACTTGCAATAAAATGTCCCGAAAGATGGTTCTGGTGGATTAAGGCACTGGTTATTGTGCTGAAATAGGTGCAGATCTTCATTTTTGTAAACAGTTTGTTTTTTGCAGTAATTTAATGCTGGGCGTGTCATCGTGATTGACAGCTGTGATTGACAGTTTCTCAAAGCAGCGGCGTCTGAGCTTCGGCAGGAGACTGAAGTGTTATTATTCGATTTCTGTGTTATTTTACCATGACAAAATGAGTTCAGCAGTAAACTATAGTTTCTGACATACATGATCTGGTGGAACACTGTTTATTCGCTAAGGTCAGGGCTTTTTTCGGGCTTTATTAGTTTGCTGATACACGCCTAACCACCCAGATAGCAAAATACACTAGGGCCAGTTCCAGCTAGATTCTCGCCTGCCGGAGACTTACCCCTCAGACTGACTACCTCTGCTGGACCTACTCCGGATGCCTGAACTCACTGCCCGATTCCAGCCCGAGTCAATTGAGTCAGATGTGGCGGCCGAGCGAGCCGGCCCTGCCGCATGCAAGCCGGAATCAGCCCGCGATGTTATGCGCTGCGGCCCGGAGCTGGTGCGATTGAATATATAAAACCCTCATATTTGTTAACGTTATTATCCATTTGTGTTGATAAGACAGCAAACGCATGCTGAGAAGTTCGGGGGCGTGGTTGATTTTACATAAAGCGTTTGGTTGGAAGCTCGACTCATTTTCGCGGCTCCTCCTCTGGCTCCATCAGACAGTCCTTCTGCGCAATTTAGCCTACCCAGTTTACCTGTACCGCATGTGTTTGGACTGTGGGGGAAACCGGAGCACCCGGAGGAAACCCACGCGAATGCAGGGAGAACATGCAAACTCCACACAGAAAAGCCAACTGAGCCAAGGCTCGAACCAGCGACCTTCTTGCTGTGAGGCAACAGCACTACCTACTGCGCCGCTGCTTCGCCTGATGTCCTACTCAGTTCCCTATTAAGACTCACGTGCGGTGACCTGCAGGTTGAGGACGCAGGTGCTTCTCCCGATGGCGTTTGATGCTGTGCACTGGTAGAGTCCAGATGTGCTGCTGCTGATGTTTCTGAGCGTCACCGTTCCCTGCATCTGATCTGAACACACAACAGCAACACAACAATCACACAGACACACTTATAGACATTCAAATCCACATTAACCTGCTTCTGACCTGCTCAAACTTTAAAGTGACACGGTGGAATAGAAGAATAAATATTACAATCAGACGTCTATCAAATCCAATATTTTACTTTAAGTCACAATTCATGATATGAACTAACCGTTAACTAACACTACGAGCTGAATAAACTAAAAATGAGCTAATTATTAATGGTTTTAGGTAGCATTAGGGATGCAGAATAAGATCCTACTTTATAACTACTAATGAACAGTTCATATCTTAATAACAGGCTGGGGTAAAACGCCAGCAGTTAATAGCATGCATTGTGACTAAAGTGTTACCCAAAATATTGAAAATCTGATTTATTGATCTAAATTAAGTATCTATATAAATATTAACATCAAACACATTACAGAAATAAATTGAACATCATTTTAAAACAATCATCTGCTTATTATTGTACACACTTGTGAGTTAGCAGTAACTCTGCTGTCCTCTAGGTGTCACTATGACTGTATTTTTCGGCAGATTGACTCTTGGAGACAGTAAAAGTGTCTCTCGCAGCTGTGACAGCTTTTTGAGGACAAAGCAGATTGATTTATGAAGCTTTAAAATATATCAGCCGTCTTTAGAATAAGGCTACAGTCATGTTTCTGTCCACAGACCTTCAGTTTCTGCGTCTCAGAGGCTCAAAGATTCATGAACAAATCCTGAATCAATGAAAAGATTCATCAGGATGAACTTTTTGTACTTGATAAATGTCAAGTGGCAACTTTTAAATTTGAGGTTTTCAGATTATGGACATTTCTGGGAATATGAAATTGACTATATATGTATTTTGCCGATGCCTAATTTAAGTGAATCATTCTTTTGAGTGAGTGGATCAAAGATTCAGTTCAAAAATCAAATGATTCCTCCGTGAATCATTCAACAAACATTCTGGCAGACTGTGTTTGTGTATTTTTGTTCATTGAAATAAAGATCGTACAAGTAAATAGAAGCTATTTTTAACTTTTACAGTAGTTAGACAACTAGCAAACAAGAAATAATAAAACAACTTAATTATAAAGCACATAAAAAGCTAAATTAATGATGAAAAATTAATAATATATTAATCTAAAAATATAAAAACTTTTTAAAAAATTGTATAATTGATATAATTGTATATAAATACACTAATACAAAATAATATCAATATAAATAAAATTAACCAAATAAATATAATGAATATATCAATTAATAATTACATTAAAATATTTGAAATAGTACCTATAAATTATTGAACTAGTTCATCAATAGTAATAAATAATATGTATAAAAACAAACATAAAAAGTTACCTGTAATAATTAATATAATTGTATAAACAAAGTGAAAACTAGTACTGTATAAGTTGTGAATGTAATAGTTGTCACATCAAACTCTGCTATTATATCTAAGCTGTATTTTAAACCAATATTTAAAATAAATGTGCTATTTTAAAATCACAAAAATATTATATATTTTATATTTTATATTAATTGTGCTTATAATATAAAAAATATAAGCACATTATAAAAAGTATTGACTAAATAAATCACTAAATATTAAACACTAAAACTTGCATCAGAGTTTGTTTATTTATTATAAACTTTCATAAAACTTTTATTATTTTATTAACTTTTATTAATAGTTGCTACAGTTAAAAACAAATACTTTAGGATCCTTTAAGAGAGTGGTCCTCATCCCCCGGGCTGCAGAATAGTACCGGTCCGTGGATCAAATGGTACTGGCCCGCAGAAGAAATCACTAATTATTTCAGTTTTATTTAATATCAGAGTCTGAACAATCCTTTATTCTCTCAGTTGCATCTTGGTCACTTGAGCACCCAAATTTAACCCACAAGCAGCAAAGTGAGTAAGAAACAGACGTCTCTGGAAAGTTTCTTTGCTAAAGGGAAAAGGCCCAATAAAGGACCCACGAATGGCTAAGGAATAGATCCGCAACCTACTTGTCAACAAATCAGGTGAATCCACATCACATCAAACTCCAATATTTAAACCAATATTTAAATTAAATGTGTTGTTTTAAAATCACTAAAATATTATATATGTTTATGTTGTATATTAATAGTGCTAATAATATAAAAAATTATATAATAACATTACAAAAGTACTGACTAAATAAATAACTAAACAATAAATAAATTAATTAATTAATATAAAAACAAAAGCTCTTTCAAAATAAAAATAAAACAACTATAATACTACATTTTAAAAGCTAAACTAACCTAAAACTTGCAGTAAAGCTTGTTTATTTATTATTTTTATTTATTATTACTTTTATTATTTTATTAACTTTTATTATAGTTGCTTTACTTAAATACAAATACTTTAGGACACTTTAAGAGAGTGGTCCACATCCCCCGGGCTGCAGAATGGTACCAGTCCGTGGATCAAATGGTACTGGGCCGCACAAAAAATCACTAATTATTTTCATTTTATTTATTATCAGAGTCTAAAAAGATCTTTTATTTTGAAAAATGACCATATTCTTCACTTGAGCGCCTAAATTTAACCCACAAGCAGCAAAATGAGTAAGAAACAGACGTCTCTGGAAAGTTTCTTTGTGAAGGGGAAAGGGCCCAGTGAAGGACCTGCAGATGGCCAAGGAATTGATCCGCAACCCAAATCAGGTCAATCCACATCACATCAAACTCTGCTATTATTCCTAAGCTGTTTTTTTAAACCAATGTTTAAATTAAATGTGCTATTTTAAAATCACTAAAATATTATATATTTCTCTACTGCATAAAATAGTGCTTATAACATATAACATTATACACACATTACGAAAGTACTGACTAAATAAATAACTAAACTATAAATAAATAAATCATTTAATATAAAACAAAAGCTCTTTCAAAATATTAATAAAACAACTATAATACTCAATTTTAAAAGCTAAACTAACACTAAAACTTGTATTATAGTGTGTTTATTTATTAGAAACTTTCATAAAACTTTTTATTAGTTTATTAACTTTTATTATAGTTGCTTTAGTTAAAAACAAATACTTTAGGACACTTTAAGACAGTGGTCCCCAATCGGATCCATTAGTATCGGGCCGCACAAGAAATTATTAATTATTTCAGTTTATTTAGTCTGAAAGATCCTTTATATTGAAAAATCTTTTGAAAAATGACCGTATTCTCTCGGTTACATCTCGGTCACTTGTGGCCCAAATTTAACCCACAAGCAGGAAAATGAGTAAGAAACAGACGTCTCTGAAAAGGCCCAGTGAAAGACCCACGAATGGCCAAGGAATAGATATGCAACCCATCTGTCAACAACATGAATCAACATCACATCAAACTCTGTTATAAACCTATATTTCAAGAGTTCACACTTAGCTGATGATTGATAGTAAAGCTAGTTTGGCGTGCTGTCCCGGGAGAGAGCCCTAAGCTTATAAGATCCTCGAGCCCTGGGCTCCTTCCCGTTGCAAGGCGAGAGGGGAGTTTGAGCTCAGGTAGATCTCGATGACTCCCCTTCTTGCTTGTTGTAGCTAAGTGTCAGATATGTATACTGAAAAGTGTACTCAGAGTTTAGCTAATGTATTTGGATAAATTGTTTAGGGTGCTTGTTTTTGAACTGTGGGAGGAAACCGGGGGACCCGGGGAAAACCCACACGTCCACGGGGAGAACGAGCAAACTCCGCACAGACATGCCGTCTGGTTTGGTAAGGAATTAAACCAGGGGCATTCTTGCTGTGAGGCAACAGCGCTAATCGCTGGCCACCATGACGCCCGTTTGAAAGGAGGGAAAGTAGGGTTTGGTGGGGGGTTTCTTCAAGACGAAGATATTGAGATGAGAAAAGTCTGGTTATTTACAGTGAGTTAAGGATCGTCTGATAGGATAATCAGTCATTAGCTTAAGTTGGAACAGCTGTGAACAATCATAAGCACGTGATCCTCTCGAAATTTGTTTATGAATAAACTTCACTTAAATTAAATGTGCTATTTTAAAATCAGTAAAATATTATATATTTCTATACTCTATATTAATAACAATATTTTAACAAAAACAATAACAAAATGAGAAAAACTGAACAAAAATAAAAACGAAAGTAATTTTAAGTAGCTATTTCCAATATGGCCCATTTCAATCATTATTTACTAGAATTATTTGTTTTTTATTTCAATTGTTTGCACATAAAATGAACATAAATAAACTTATTATTATTATTAAAACAATGATTATTAACTGCAATAACTCTGTTTGTATGATTCATTTCTAGAAGTGATTAATTAAGCCTTTAAAATATCCTTAAATTGTCAGTTTTCTGTATTTTGGGCTTCATGTTTTTATTTCCCCCCATTTATTTCTGCTTTTGAGTGGCATTATGGGATGTTGATCTTTCTTCCAACAACTTTTACTCTTAAAAAGCCCTAAACAGTGACTTTTATTGTCTTTGTAATAGTGTGCAGTGCTATATTGTCTGGGTTGGTGTTGTATATTACGCTACAGAAACCTTGTAATAATCTGCAGCACATTATTTCTCTAGATATTATTATTATTTCTTATGCATTATATTATTTCAAACTACTAAAATGTCAATAAAAGTCACTTTGTTAAACTGTAGAGTTGAATTTTCAATATCAGAAGTGGACAGAGCACATCAACATCCCATAATGCACCTCACCACCACAAATAAATCAATTTTACAGTGTATAAAATAATAAAATCTGTGTATAATAATAATAAAGGTCAGTCTTTGGACTCCTGTAGCCGTATTGTAAAGTGGCGGCATATGCACAGATCGGGTCAGTAACACACACACACACACACTCACTGACGGAGGATCAGCACGGGCACAGCTCAAGCCACACCAGAATCAAGAGCGGCACATTTACCGGAGAGCGACGGGCAAAACGGGATGCCCACGGCCAGCGCTTTAGTACCTTGCATGGCATTGTGGGGCAGTTTGGGCACCGACTCCTGCTTCTCCCAGGCGTAGGTGGGCGTCGGGATTCCTTCATCCGAACCGCACAACAGCATCACATCACTGCCCACGTCCAGAGAGCCCTGGACACGACACGACGGGATGGATGGAGGAACTGAAACACACACAATAAACACACCAGCTTGATTCTGATTGGCTGATCAACAAGACTGCCTGATTAACACACAGGTAAAGTAATAGTTTTATAAATGTGTATATTCATTCATTCATTGTTTCTTTATTCATTCATTCATTTTCTTGTCGGCTTAGTCCCTTTATTAATCCGGGGTCGCCACAGCAGAATGAACCACCAACTGAGTCGAGATTCGAACCAGCGACCTTCTTGCTGTGAGGCGACAGCACTACCTACTGCACAACTGCCTCGCCCTGTTTCTTTATTACTTATTGCAAATGCCCTTCCAGCTGCAACCCATCACTGGGAAACACCCCCACACACACACTACAGCCAATTTAGTACATCAATTCCCCTATACCGCATGTGTTTGGACTGTGGGGGAAATCGGGGCACCCTGAGGAAACCCACGCCAACACGGGGAGAACATGCAAACTCCACATAGAAAGGCCAACTGACCCAGTCGGGACTCAAACCAGCAAACTTCTTGCCAACCACTGAGCCCCCATGCCACCCTACTGGTATTAATAAATGTGTTCAGAAGCGGCTTTGATCAGTGTAGAGGGGCAGGTTATTGTAAATAAAGAGTGTGCGCATCTGCCTGACACTCTCCTGTCCCAGAAGGGCAAACTTTTGTAGGCCACATGAGCGTGCCAACAGGGCAGATGTAGCGAGCTGGAACTGTGTTTTTAGCACATGCATGCACACTCCTCACACATGCAGAGCTCTCTCAAATGCTTTACATACTTAATGTGCGTTCACAGCTGTTATCATTCACTTTTACAGCGTATGTGGAGAATAAAAGTAAATAATTCAATAAATTCGATGCCTTAACAAAAAAAGTACACACTGTTTCTTTAATATCAAATACTAATATTCAAATTATCGGTGTAAGAGTCTAATATATCATATGCATTTGTTTATATGGTGTTTTTCACCAAAGAAGGCTCACACAAATTCCAAAGGCAGATACTGATTAGATGAGGGCCTGCTGTGTGGAGTTTGGGGGTTTTATGATGTGGTCACTTGTTGATTGGTCAGTTTGAATGTCTCAGTATTTGGCCTTGGTCACATGGTCAAGAAAAAGACAAAATAGCTGGTGCACTTTGCTCTGCTTCTTTCCTGCTCTGGAGTCGATCTTCTCTGACTCTACTGCAATCTTCTGGGCCTGCTCTCTTTGTCTCTCCCCCCTGTATCTCTTTCTATTCATTCATTCATTTTCTTGTCGGCTTGGTCACTTTATTAGTCCAGGGTCGCCACAGCGGAATGAACCGCCAACTTATCCAGCAAGTTTTTTACTCAGCGGATGTCCTTCCGGCCGCAACCCATCTCTGGGAAACATCCACACACACTCATTCACACACACACTCATACACTACGGACAATTTAGCCTACCCAATTCACCTGTACCGCATGTCTTTGGACTGTGGAGGAAACCAGAGCATCTGGAGGAAACCCACACAAAGGCAGGGAGAACATGCAAACTCCACAAAGAAAAGCCAACTGAGCCGTGGTTCGAACCAGCGACCCAGCGACCTTCTTGCTGTGAGGCGACAGCACTACCTACTGCACCACTGCCTCGCCTTTGAACAAATATCTATAAATAAATGAATGATTGAATAAATAAATAAATATCTATAAATTAATTAATTAATTAATTAATTAATGTATTATATAAATAAGTACATGAATGAATGAATAAATAAAAAAATGAACGAATAATTCAATGAATGAATAAATAAATAATTATAATATATAAATGCATGAATGAATAATTAAATAAATATAATATATAAATAAGTAAATGAAAGAATGAATAAATTAATTAATTAATTAAACAATAAAAATATAATATAAATGAATGAATGAATGAATGAATACATTAATGAATGAATAAATAAATAAAAAATTATAATAAATAAATAAATAAATAGGTAGGTAGATAAATAGATGAATGAATGAACGATATAATATTTGAATGCATAAATAAAAATATAAAATGAATGAAAACATAAATAAATAAATTATATAAATAAATAAATACAAAATATATCATATAAATAAATGAATGATTGAATGAATAAATATAGAAATGAATGAATATAGAAATTAAAGAATGAATGAATGAATAAATGAATGAATTAATAATATATAAATGAATCAATCAATTGGACTTTCCGTAATGAAAATTAAACTACACTGAACTGAATTTCAAGTCTGAAAACTAAACTGACACTGTTTCAATTTAATTTAATCGTTTATGTTGAGCTGCTTTGACACAATCTACATTGTAAATATGCTAGAAAATAGACAAACCAACAAACATAAATAAATAAATAAATAAAATATATGAATGAATGAATGAATGAACGAACAAAGGAACGAAGGAACAAATGAATGAAGGAACGAACGAACTAAATGAATACGAAATGAATGAATGAGTTTTTTATTACTTATATATACAGAACTTTATTCTGTTCATGTGAATCCTAAAAAACGAACCAGCGACCTTCTTGCTGTGAGGCGACAGCACTACCAACTGCGCCACTGCCTCGCCCCTCTCTCTTTCTAACGTAACTTTATTTCTGCATTTAAGCTGGGCACAATTATTATCATATGCTTTTTCATCATTTCATATTTTATCATTTTCCACAGTTATTTTGTGATTATTCAGTTGTAACCGTAGAGAATCATCGTCATTAAATCACTTTACTATCAAGTATTTGTGAATTACTTTTGATCTAACATCAACACTTGTTGACTCCATAGTGCAATAGAATATGTTAGACCACCATCTCCACGCCAGATAAATATGATCCAGCTCCGGATGCCAGATCTTATTAGGAAATATCTGTTTCTCCAGGTATAGGGACAACAAGTCAGCAAAGTTTCCAATACCTGAACCCGTTAACCAGCATTCAACTGAATTACCAGTGTCTCATAATAGAGGAGTTAACTGAGAAAACCAGAGAGGAGCAGAAGCAGGAGACGCAGTAATGATGATGAAGAAAGAGCAGAGCTTATTGGATAATCTTAGTTGCGTATGATTCAATGCTCAGAGTTCGTCTGACCAGAATAAATGCAACAAGTGTTATCATACCACCAGCAACAGCAATGGAAAATTACTGCTTCACAACATTGTCCAGAGACAACACAGACCTGGAAATTAAGACATTCTCTTATCTCCTACTCATGAAAACATGTTTCACTTGAATCAACACACTCATAAGATTATAACAATATGGACAAATGGAAATAATAATGAAGCAATAATTTTATTAAAAGAGTAACAAAATATAAAAAATATATAAAAAAAAACAATAAAATGACAAATAATCAATAATAATAATCAAATCATTAACTACTGATCAATAAAATGATACAATGATAATTATATAAATGACTAATGATCATATGATTAAATAAAATAATTAAATGAAGAACAAATGAATAAAAACAAAAAAAGGTGGGCTTCTTCAGTTTATTCATGACCATCTGCATCTGTATAATGTGATTATTATGATCAGTATTATTGATTATCTGCAGATTTATGATAAACACAAGTGTGGAACGTGTGTTTGGATATAACTCAGTTTTCTGAGCACACTTCATTATTATTGTTCATTTATTCCTCTGCTGGAGATCAGGGCTGAATTTAGAAATAGTTTAGATACAAATCTCTGAGCTTAACAAAGGAAATTAAATATGTGGGCTAATGGATGTGTTCAGAGGAGTGAGTTTCCACCGTTTCCTCACTCCACCAAAGTAAAGGAGTAAAGGAGTAAAGTAAAGAGGCTGAATGGAGGAGGCTCGTTCTTTATCCTCGCGCTGCAGATGCTCTGTTTATGGTTTTCTTGCTAGTGAAGCGTTCAGTTTTCACACTTATAAAGTCACAATGTCAACAGCAAATGCACCATGGAGTGACACAAGGGGAAATGAGAATGAGAGAAGGGAATGAGAGACGAGACTCTGATTGGTTTAATGCAGGTTATGCTTAAAACACACCCAGAACTCATTAAGAGAATAAGCACAACCCTGTTAGACCATGCGCTGGGCGCAGAGTGGATTTATCCATGCCTAAAAGAGCAAAAGTGGATTCAGACACGGCCTTAATGCTTTTGCGCTGTGAGCTTTAGACTTTGCGCCTAGATCATTAAATTAGAGTGTATTCACCCTGAAATCTTAATAAAAAATTTTAAAAAGACAAATAAATTGTAGACTTATGAGTGGTTTTGTGGTAAAGGGCCACTAATATCCATTATACCAACAGTAAAACAGCAGATTCAATGCTGGCCTAAACTTTTGCAGCACAGTACTGTACGAGCAAACATATTGTGCAAGTGTTTACTGTGTTTCGTCCCAAATAACAGGCACTGTCTGAAGCAGATACAGCACATGGAGCAGTCATAGAGCAGAGTGAAGTCACTCACCGAGCACCGTCAGGCCGATCACTCCTATATTGCGTCCTCCGCGGTCCGGCAGGTTGTTGACCAGGCACTGGTACGTCCCGGTGTCCGACAGCTGAGTGTTATTGATGAAGATGGAGGCACTTGTGCTGGGCATGGTGGACACGAAACCCACACGCCCATTCATGTGATTGGCTAAACTGAATACCTGACCACTCTGGTAGATGATCACCTGAACACACACACACACACACACACACACACACACACACACACACACACACACACACACACACACACACACACACACAACAACAACAAACAGACATTAGGCATTTCAGAGATATCTAATTAGCTCAAAACTAAACACACACACACACATAGAGAGAGAGAGACAAAAACAGCAAAACTTTCGACATCTGGCCCTGTGGAGCTCTAGATCACCTCAGTGACGGTCAGAGCGGTCAGACGCAGAGGTTTGGAGTGTTTAGCTGAAAGGTGTAAATGTGCCTGAAATGATCAATTATTGAAGAGTTTAAATATGCAGCACATTCTGCTGTGAGTGTTAGCATGTCCAGCGCGCACACACACACACACACACACACACACACACACACACACACACACACACACACACACACACACACACACACACACACACACACACACACACAGAATAAAGCATTTTACAGCACTTTGATCCTCACTAAAACCCCCTGTGATCTGCCACATTAAAGAGACCTGCTGCACTGTGTGTGTGTGTGTGTGTGTGTGTGTGTCTCTGTCACACACACACTCTCTCACTCAGGGTGCAGGGCTTGTCGTGATTCATCTGCAGCTGAAGTGCTGTCTGTTCACTTGGGTGTAAGACGCCCAGAGTCCGAGAGAGCATCGTTTACTGGTGATCAAAACACTGTCAGCTCGTGTGTGTGTGTGTGTGTGTGTGTGTGTGTGTGTGT